CACAGTCTGATTGTTTTTACCTATTGGTATGTATGAAAAAAGGCATCACTTTAAGTTGTTATTTTAGAAATACGTGCATCAGCCAATCTAATATTTCATAGTAGTCAAAACGTAAAATTTGAAGCATCACACATTGTAATCAAGTTTCCCTCTTAAAATGAACACTTAAAGGTGAAAAGATGTGTGTTATAACCTTGTTATTTGAACTTCCATGTGCTCTTTTGAGTGTAAATTAAATAATTAATATAATAAAACAAAAATATGTAATGTGATGCAGCACAAATCCAAACTCTGAGTGAATCCATTAATGATAACTGAAATTCATTGTTGTATCATTTCTTTAATAAGCCGCTATTCGTACTTTGCAGCACAATCATTTTTGTCATTAATTAATTCCTCAGAATTCCATTTATTACCAACATGGTTGCTGGTGTCATTGAATGATAAGAAATTATAATTGTTTCAATGGTAAAAGCCGTAAATATATGACAATGTCTCTTGATATCGTTAACGCTTTTAATGGAAAGAAGAAGTACAATTCCTGAAAGAAATCTTCATACAAAACAGATATCCACCAAAAATCATAAACAAAAACATCAAACAGAAAATCCAAAAGCGAGAGATGCCATCCGTGCCTTTATGTGAACCTCGACTTCAAAGGTGACCTACTCAGTGATATCCTTAAGAGGAGAATTTCCATTTCTTTGAGAAGAACTTTCTTTGTGACAACACTGAGAGTAGTGTTCTCCAGTCGCCCACTGGTCTGCAGAAGCTGAAAGGACAAGGTCTCGCACCTGACTACTTCTGTGTGTATATATCAGTTCACCTGTTGCTGTGGAGCCAGATACATCTGTCGTTCGATGCGCATCATGTCAAAAAGGGTCAAAGATCACTATCCAGTGTGACTGCAGAAAGAAAGTAGTGGCCGTGTAAGGAGTGCAATAATCAACCATCTGGTCAACACTGATCATTCTATCTCAACAGACGTCTCCTACAAAGTAATCTACAAAGTGAAGAACAACCTTCCAAAGACAATACGCTACAATCTTCTTTGCATTGCAGAAGCCCTGACCATTCAGTTAGAAGAACCAGAATTTTGCATTTAAAAAAAATTATTCAGACACTTCTACTATAACGGTGACAACTCTGTTGATTTGACTTAACTTTTGCTTATATGCTTATTTTTCTAAATACTTAAAACTCTCATGCGATTACATATGTTATTTTGTTTCCATGTACACTCTGAGCACAACTCTTTCATCAAACTATCCATGTTATTACATAACTCTTCTTTAACAATCGTTTGTGATAACTCATCACTTGTGTTACTACCCTCTTATATCAACATCCAATTCATCTGAAAGCCTTTTGTATTACTTAACTCAACCAAAAACTTGCCAATTGTATTTTCGTCCAAATAATTCAATGAATGCACACATACGAAACAACCATATTGCATTAGCGATTGTGCAGCTTTGAAAATGAATCCACCGAAAAGACACTCTTCGCTGAACTATTGGTCTTCTACCTATTCATGTTCGAATGTGGATTTTTCATGAATTTTAATTTAAGCAAATATGAAACATTCCCCATGTTTAGAAAATTGAGAAAGTGTATTGCCTAGTATTTACATGTCCCAAAAATATACATTTAACCAATAAGAGATGCCATTGCCGCAAACTAGGGTTTTCATCTCATAATAGAGATTTCTCTTCTCACACCTTTAAGTCCAACCTATAGCAGCTTCTTTTATGACATGGAGCTAAGGTAAATTAATGTCCTAATATTAGGTATCAGCAACAGAAATATTACTATCATATTTTGAAATATTTTTCAATGGTTATAAATTTTTGAGTTTACTTATCACCAGAGACTGTCAAGGTGAAGCTTTCACAATTTGCATATTAGTTCGCGATTTGCAATTTACACCACCGGTACTCCTTTGGTAACTCAAATTATTCACAACACAATATGTAATTCACTTGATACCATAAATGTCAATGAAAAAAGCAGCCATAAATACAGGAAATTATATACTTTTTCTGTACCTTCTCGTTTGTAGTGGAACATAGGGCTTCAAGCTAATGGCTTGAAGTTCCTGTAAGAGTGTTTATTCTATAGGATGGTGTTGCTAGCCTCATGCCCAACCTTTCCTCTTTACCAGCCTTATTTCTGGCTCAGCGACGTAAAGGTGTGTGTCGGCCGGGGATGGAAAGTCGGACCATATGAATGGTCGGCGAACGTCCTAACCGCTGTGCTACCGACGCACGATATTATATACTACTGGTTTGAAATGATTCATATCTCTGAGCTGAGTCAAAATTAACAAACCAGTGATTAGCCTGATGTCAAACGAGCGAAACGGCCGTCCATTGTTCAAATCATTCCTATCTGGCCAGTAACCTTGGTGGCTGATATGAATGGTGTCCAACTACTCATATCAAATAATCAGTAGTATGTTGACAAATGAAACTTTCTTACAAAGTAAGGCTCACCATTCAATTACCTGATATGTCTAAATATATCCCACAATATTTCACCTAAAATTACTGTTAATAAGACCATATTTTTCAGTTTGTGTGAACCAAATATTTATATTTGAAAGTTCTGTTAATTATACCTAATTAATTTTATTGGATAATTTATTATTTCCCATACAGCTTCTACTGTAAATACTTAATTTGTGATTCGGCTGTTAATTTGGTATAGTAAAGAAACCAATTTCTGACAAATCTATGCATCTTCTGGAAATTTAAGATGCTTTCGAGGCACAGATATTAACCATAATATAATTTTCGAATCCTTGTGTATAAAGTCTACTTTACGAAGTATTTTAAAACAGAAATTCAATGCGCCTACAGTATAATAGTAATAATAATAATAATAATTTTCATACAAGCCGACCTACGTTGCAATTCAAAAGAATTTTTAGAGTTGAAATTAACTTATCACGCAACCTTGAAAATAATACAAAAGTGGTAGTTTTTGCGACATTTTAGTGGCTTACATATTTTGCCTTGATTTCACTCGCATCATTAAGTGCACTTGAGCCACACTTGACTACAGACATATCAAGTAATATATGTGAAAAATTAGTTAAGGTGTAAAAGCGGTGTTCTAACAGCGGCTGTAGAAATAATGGATAGTCCACTGAGACTAATTACTGACTATCTGAAAACAAAGTCACTATAAAAACGGAGCTGGATCGCTAGGGTTGATTATAATCTCAATAGAATTTTATTAGTTCTTGTTTTGTGTAACATACAGTGATATGAAATAACATATATTCTGATGTTCTGTTAAGCACAGTTTGTAAATTTTCGTCATATCAAAATGTATACTTTCAACAAATATGCCTCATCGACAGTTATTACACCACATTTGTTTCCGCATCTCTAAAATTTTTCAGAACATGATTCTACAAAAAGGAATGGGATTTTGACAACACTGAGAGTTGATTTCGTGAAATTAACAAACCAATAATGCTATGATCCACATGACACTCTGACTTGGTTAAAAGTGAAATTATTTTGATCCAAAGATGATCAGATCATGAAATGAGTTCATTAAGGATTCGGCCAGTGTGACGGAATTCATTAGTCTATAAATTACAGTGATGCCAATCCGTTGATTCAGTGATTTTGTAAGTGATATCAATTTGTGATCTGTCATTTCTATTTTGGAAACTACTTGTTACAGTTATCAGTTTCGGTCTCCCTACTGATTTATTTCACACTTAGGTGGTTTAAAGGCCGCTTTTTTGTGACAGAAAGTCGAATGTTTTATATGTTAGTATATATTCTCAACTTTTGTACTGAATATTTACGTTGTTTCATGGTTTTCCAAGGGAAATCTTATAGATGAATTAGTGACTACTCACAAAAAGCATTCAGGATGACATCCACAATAAAGTGAAAATTTCTGTCAATAAAACTGAAATTGAGAAACAAAAGTGCTGGAAAAAGTTTTCAGTTTTTTTGACTAATTATAAATCAAACTTTCATCACAATCAAAAACTTAATTTCGAAAACATTCATCATAACAATGTGAGAGACGTATCTATTACTAGCTGCTGTATGTGTGCATGAGTAAGCCGTTGCGCGACTAGGTAATCTAGATTAGGTCTTAAACCGTCTACTCGGAAAATGTTATAAATTGCTAAACAGTGGATAGCTGAAAAATCAATAGTACTAATCCTGACAGTATGCCGAAAGCTAACGAAGACTATTCAAACACCTCTGAAAGCTTAAAAGCTTGAATACTTACTTCTAGAGGACAGCACATGGTTACATCATATTTCTATAGGTCACTAATATGTATATATATATGTAAGGAATCAATGATTCCACTGCTAGAAATAAATTTTACTGAGTTATTTCGAAAATTTACGTTGGTGCCAACCACTTACATGGTTCCGTGCTCTATCCACGACGGATTCACTCCTTAAGCCCACTCAGTCGACAGATAGGCTTGGTAAAAAGGTAAAATAATAAACACCACTGCCGCTGAAACTTCAGAGTTCAAGCGCGAAGCCTTAAATTCAACTCGGAGCGTAGAAGAAAATAAAATAAAAATGATAACTTTGTCAACAGCTGTCTTTGAATGAACTCCACACTACAGTCATCATGAATATGTCATGCAAACGTTTTTTTTCCTTCACGTTCCCAGTGGAACATAGGGTCTCAAGTTAGTGGCTTGAAGTTCCTGTAGCACTGTTTAATTTTACAGGATGAGGTTGCTAGCCTCATGCCCAACCTTTCCTCTTTACCAGCCTTATTTCTGGCTTAGCGAGGTAAAGGAGTGAGTCTGTGGCCGGGGATCGATTCGCGGACCATGTGCATGGTCGGCGAGCTTCCTAACCCCTATACCACCGACGCGAACTTATTCACTCAGAATTTATCTGCTTTACTTCACATAAACTGAGCTTTAGCAGACTAGAAGACGACACAGAAGAATGAGTGTTAAAACTGCCCAGCTTGATGAAAAATATTATAACTTACTTGTAAATCATCAATCTTATATGTGATTTCAGCATTTTCGCCAATATCATCATCATGTGCAATCAGTGTGGCTGCAATAGAATTCACAGGAAAGTCTTCTGATAAATTAAAATAGAATATTTGTTTCTCGAATTGTGGTGCATGATCATTCTGATCTATAATATTGATAAACACTTCAGCTGTAACATTTTTTGGAGGCCGACCATTATCCGTAGCTGTTACATTAAACCGAATTTCATTTATCGTTTTTCGATCAATTATCACCTTATTATATAATATACCAGTATCTGCATCCACACGAAAATACTGTTGACCCTGAGAATCAATAGAGTATTTAATTTTCTCCACGGATTGAGTAATTTGGATATTTTGGTGTTGATTATGAGAATGAAAACTGGGATCATTTATTCTATAGGGGTAACCACCACTTAAATAATTTTGATAATCTGGATCTGTAGCGTTGAATGCGAATATAATTTCATCAGGTGGAGTATTTTCCAAGATGTCTAGTTGAAATTTATTTGTGTTAAATGTAGGCGGATTGTCATTTTCATCCAATACTGTAACAAAAAATTGCGTGGTACCCGTCCGCACTGTTGCACTATTCAATGGTTGGTCAATACATATAATTTCTACGACTTCAATAGCACTTGCCTCACGATCAAGTTCCACTGAAGTAACCATTTTAAATTCCAGAATGTTTAAATATTGTTTTGATGACTGACTGTTTAACATATCAAAATTATACAAATTTGTTTTACCATTTAAATGATCATCCGAATGACTCTTTATTGTACTTATTTGTTCAAGTTTAAATTTCGGATTATTTATACGACATGAAAGAGCACCGTTGAAACCAGAATCCGCATCTGTAGCTGTGACGAATGCTACTAACTGGCCAGGTGGTCTGTTCTCCATTAATGTTGGATACGGTGGGTTGCTACGACTTTCTAAATCAATCACTTTAATCTGTGGTGATTCATCATTAATATCATTTATACGTACATCAATTGCTGTATAGGCGGAATGTGATTTCGGTTTACCAAAATCACTAGTCATTATTTTGAACCGCATATGTTTGTCTGATGGAGGTAGTCTATCAGCATCTAAGGGTCTGTTCACTGTGATAATGCCTGTTTGCGAATCAACAGCAAATGGGAAGCTTGAAATTACTGTTGAATCAATCATCAAGCGATAATGCAGTCGACCGTTATCACCAAAATCAGGATCTGACCCATTGATTCTGCCAAGCAATGTGCCTATCTTAGCATCCTCTGAAACTTCTAGATTTAATGTTCTCGGCACAACCGGAGTATTGTCATTAACATCGAGAATATGAATACGTATTAAGATGGTGCCAGTATGTTTAGGAGTTTGAAGTATGTTTTTACCATTAGAGAAAGAATTATTATTATTAACTAAATCTTGACCGTTAGAAACATCAGAATGAAAATATCTGATCCCATCGACTGCTAACAGTTTGATCCAAAAGTATTCATTTACTTCACGGTCAAGATAACCAGTCACTTTTAAGGATGGAATTAATTGTTCATTGCTTGACTGAATTTCCAAAGTCTCTTCTGTCTCCTGGAATGCAGTATTCATATTGACTTCATTATAAGGCATTGGGAATGGAGTGATACAACCTTTTTGCTCTAAAGTAAATGGAAGTTCATATTTATCTACTCCAATAAGATTAGAATAAGAAAGTTTATGCTTTAAAGTTACAATATCTGATGGAGATAATGATTCCAGCCGATATTCGCTTACATCATAAGTTGATGAATCTGGATCAAATGCTTTAGGAAGGAGTATACAAGAATGAAGACTTGTTGATTCTTCAACGGATATCTCAACTACAGGCACTGGATTGTATAAAAGTATCACTGTCTTCGGCATCTGATCTGTGCTGGTTCCAGAGGGTAGAATAAATTGTGGTGAGTTGTCATTAATGTCGATTAATTCAACATCTACTGTTATATATCCCATTTCTTCTCTAGTACTTTTCGCCTGATCATTTCTGTTAGTATCTTTGTCGGGATTTTCATCCATGTCATTATCATACAACATGGAGAATATCACACGAAACTGGATCAAGCATAAATCAGCTGTTTTACTATAGTAAGATTTATACATTTGACTTGAAGGAGATATTCGACTTGTGGTATCAAAATAACCATTATTGTTTTTCATTAATGGATTAGAACAACACAACCGATCTTTACTGCACAATGTATCCCTATCAATAATCATATTTGTAATGATACTTTCTGTTTCTTTATTTAATCGGAATAAACGATTTACTGAGGCCACTTCATAGACTACATTTAAACTTGACATTACAATCGATAGTCGTTTTTTCTGATTATGATTACCGTTCTCGTCAGTATCATGAGCAGACAGAGTACCAGAGTTTAAAAATTCTCGAATGTTTAAGATAACAGTTCCTGAGGGTGATTCTTCTCTAATTTTAATTCGTACATATTTTGGAATGTTGGGCCCTTCTTCAGATGTTGTATCAATAGTTAAACAGCACATTATATCCAAACTGAGTATCAAAACAGTGCAAAATAGTAGTATAGATACATAATTTAAAATAAATCCGCTATGACGAAAAATAGAAATTCGGAAGCTGAAAATATGATTATTATTATTTACAATAAACATGAAATATGTGACTATGTTTATTATTATTTACAGTATTTCTGGTATAAATTGTCCCTAAATCTAGCAGCATGTTGCACAGAATATGATAAATTTTAAAAATTAAAATAACTTTTCATCAAGATAAATGCTTCATCCAATCAGAACAGCGCTTGCATATGATTGGTTGTAATACTTTTCCCCTGAATTATGGTGTAGGATTTTGAGGACTTTTTCAAATAATGATTTAAAACATTAAAAATTAGTCATTCCATTCACCAATAAGTATAATTTAAAGCACAAATTCAGTAACCACCTAATATAAATCAAAATATTGTCTTCTCACTTTTATCTCTAGTGATGTAGGGCATCAGAAATACGGATTAATATTGATTTGCACATTGGTCACCAACTAACCTCAGTTAGAGAACCCATAGAAAAACCACGAATGTATCATCCCAGCATGGGATTCCTCATCCTTATGCAACTACCAGACTCAGAATCGAGACCTAACAGTTAGAAGGAGAGTTCATCTACCGTTTAGCCAATTGGGCGGGGTCCCATGGTGCATGAATTCTGACTTCTGACGATTCAGCATATATATAGCTAAGAGTCATCGGTCAGTGAGCATTAGATTAGTTTTCAAGTTTTGCTTTGCAGGGATCTCATTGGTCACTGGTTTGGTCACCAGCTGACATCATTCAGAGAAACATTGGAAAACCAGTGATTACTGGACAGATGTTTCGTCCTAGCTTGGGAATCTTAGTCGATTTAGCAAAACGCTGCCTATCAAACTAACCTTCAGAATAATGACAACAATAATAAATAAACTGAGAAAAGCCATGGCTAATCAAATAAAAAAAAATAGTCCAAGGGAACTTTTGACACTGACTAAACTGCTATAATCAAGTCATATTCGCACTGATCGCTAGATACTAAGGAAGTAAGCTGTCCGGCGAAAATTGGTAAAATATTTTAATTTTATAATGCTATCAGTAAGAAGATTATTTTCAAGTTTGGTTTGTGGGTTACAAGCCAAGTAGGGTCCGTCTACTATTCAATGATCTATGGAATCTAACTTCTATCAATCCTCTACTCCTTGCGCAACTTCCAAACCAGTGTCATCGGTGGGTATCACTCCTCCCTTTAGGGTTCTGTTTTCCGATCCCAGTGGAGTCGTCTGAATAGTGTCAAACTAGGACCATAAATCTGTTCAGTAGCGCATGGTTTTCTCCGGTTCCCTAACTGACGTTAATCCATAACATAAAAGTGGAATGAAACTAATGACTTTCAATATTTTGGATACGGAAATCATGAAGAAATGATACCAAACAAATTAAATCTTACACTTTTCTATTCATTTAGTCTGGAAAACATAGTGCCTCAATAAAATCTAATCTTGATAACTGATCGGAACTATTTTAAAATTTTTTTGAAAGCTCTTAACATTTTTGATTGAGTAAAGCCAACGAATGTTCCATTAAACACAATTTTCTAGAGATACTCAACGCTCATTTCATACTAATGTGCACCATTCGCGAGTTGTATTATACTTTAGATTGTTCATCAAGTATTGTCACTGATTAGAATCTACTATATATATATATATATATAAACTCTGAAAAATACTCAAATCAACAATTGATCCAGTCCCGATGGCTGGAGGAGTTTAGATTACATTCTAATGGTAGAAGACGAGAAACTTAGTAAGGGAACGTTTATTTGGAATTCGAAATGTATATATGGCGAAATTATCTACACTTTATCTGCAAATAGTCACTTATATGGACTTTCCGTGTTGTGCTACTTTCTGCCCATCTTGTTGTGTTTTTGTTTTTCTTCCTTTTCATATTTCCCATGCTCTTTCTCAAAGCTGGTTCATTTGCCATGTTTTGACGTCAAATCTATCTCTCTGTTATTTGATAATTTTTTGTGCCACTGAATGTCTACTTATATACTACTGATAAATCGCATCACTAGCACATGTCACAGCATTCCCTCAATATATAAACGTGCTAACTGCTACTGCAGTGAGAAGATGTAATTTATCTGAAACGTTTAGTTTGATAGCGCGACACCTTCCGGACATTCTGATCATACATGTACTTGTCCATATTTATAGAGAAGACAATAGAGTATAAAGAAATACAGTTTTTGTCAGTATAAGTTCAAATGTTTATAGTCATGGTCATGGATAAGGGTTAGCAAGATGACGTAAGAAAATGGGGTAAGAATAATACGGCGCGAAAATATTACTAGGTAAACTGTGCCCTGGTTCTCAAATTGGATTATCGAGGTAGGTACAGAGTAGTTATAAGTGATGTTTTTACACAAAAAATATAGGTTTAAGCCTTTTTATGCCCAAGGTCTCGACAAATTTAACTATGTTACTCAAACCTGTTTTACACGTAGATTGAAATGTAATATTGAAATCACCTTTGTGACTCATCTCTATTATGCGTTTTGCTGTGGATAATGTAGTTCATCTAATTCTAGGAATAATTGTAGGAGGTGGTTTTATTTGTTCTCGAAGCCACTTCTGAATGTGTTTTGTAGCCCTGAAATGCAGATGTCGATGAGTCTTCCCTGTGTACGCGTGACCACATATTCATGTAAATCAATAAACACAGTGAGACGTGACACTTTTGTTTGGATGCTGTGAATGTTTATAAGAAAATATAAATCTTGTTTTCTCTATTAAAATGGGTTTCACTCCATGGTAGGTTCCAATAAGTACCATCTTGAGTCTTTGTTTAGTGATCAGACTCTGGTGTTCATTCGTAAATGGCAAGAATATATTATTATCCTTTTTCGGAGTAAATTGCATTGATGGAGGATACAACTAAAGAAGAAGCCTAAAGCCTCACTAAACTATTATTAAGTGAAAACTACCCTCTGAAATTCATAAAACGTCACAGAAATCTGGAATAAACAGCTCCACTGGTACATCCGAGTCTATTTCCACCAGCTTCAGAATCATTGAAACTGAGAGACCAACGGACAGCTGTTTAACCCTGGAGTAAAATGCTTCGTACTTGGCCTAATTTAAACGGTTTTCTAATCAATACTGATTCTTAGTACAATTTATCGAATCCACAGCAACCCGACAATATTGTATAAAAACTAGATAGGTATGTGAATATGTTTATCACCGAAGTCAGTTCCTATTCACTCCTTCAACTTATTTGAAGTAAAAGTATTGTTGGATGTGTTCCAACTGCTGTGACGAAAGCTGTGAAGTAGTCATATAATAATTTGCTAAAATCAGAAGATACACGATATCTTTTGTGAGAATACTAATTGGGAGTTCACAAACGTGGTATCAGAAGTAACACATTTTGTCTGTCATTATATCAGTGAAGTAATCTAGTAACACAGCTAACGAATGCTGAGTACTCCTGTGTTTCCGTTCGTCTGCCTAACTAATTTCCTCATTCGACCTCTAAACATACTTAATAGGTGAACTTTTAACAAAACAACATGTATTTTTGACAATAACATTTTTATTTTCCTTTACTTTCCCAGCAGAACTAGGGCTTCAAGCTACAGGTTTGAAGTTTCAGAGGCAGTAGTATTTGCTTTTGCGGGATAGGTTTGCTAGTCTCATGCTCAACCTTCTCTCGTTACCAGTCTTATCACTCGCTTAGCAAGGTGAAGGATTATGTCGGGCCGGCGGCCGAACCCCTAATCATATGCTCAGTAGGCGAGCATTCTAGCGCTGTGCGACCGACCCAGACAGTAACTTATTAAGTCCCAGATTATATGTCGCTTTCATTCATGATTTTATTAATTAGGAATGTAAAGCATCACTTTTCCTCAATAGACAGTTACATTTTAAGAAAATTCGACTTGGTCTTATTTGTTTATTTTTGTGCTTTAAGGAAAAAGAGATTGATAGACACTATACTACTACTAATACGCGTTAATTTTAAAATATTGAAAATTTTTAATCCATTAGATTGATTACCAAAGTTTTTATAAGGAAACAGTTTATTTTACGGCTTGTGGTGCCAAAATAATACGGTTTTTTTTCACTTTTCTTATATTTCTTTACTTCCTCGTAGAAATTAGGTTAACGTGTTTACATTTCCTTTAATTGTAGCCACGTCTAGACAATGCACATACACACATACAGACATTTTTGTTCAAGTGAATCATCCTGTTTCCTTAATTATCAAATTTTTGATCATACTACATGTAATTATTGCAGTCATACTGCCGATATGAAAAAATTTCATTGGTATATAAAAATAGGTTTTCGATTTTTACCAAATAGAATCAGGCGGAATCTACCTAGAGTGGCATTGATGTTTGATAGCTGAAGATAGTAATCATATCAGTAATATATATGTATGTTTTGTCTTAGATAAAATATTAAACATTACAACAAAGTAAGTCGGTGACACAGATGTAGAATATTCGCCAAATGTGGATGTGGTCCGCCCGACGCACTGCTTTATCTCCTTAGGCTGGTAATAGGACTGGTAGAAAGAGAAATTTAGGCATGAGACTAGTAACCCCATCCCTTAAAAATAAACATCAGTGCTACTGAAACTTCAAACCCCTAGCTGGAGGCCCCATTTTCCACTGGGAACATAAAGGAATGAAAAAAACAAAAAATATAACACTAACTGGCACAGACCACTCTCGATGGAAGAAATTTGAAAGCGATCACTTCTTCCATTTATCTAGGCAGTACATTTTCCACTACAAGACCATGACATGGATAAGGATGTCAAAGACACAATCGAAAAGGCGAAACAGAACTTTATCACTCTGAATTCAATTTGGAAATCTTTCGAACTCAGAATGAAGAACAAGACTGTTATTTTGAACACCATTGTCCATTCACTCAGTTCTTCACTGTGGATCAGAAACTTGGTGCGTCTTAATGAGCGTTTTCAACAACCGTCTGCAGACTTTCATCAACAGCTGCCTTCACTGGATCCATACTGAATATCAGGTGGCCCTTTAGAGAGAATTAGCAACAATAAACTCTGGTAACAAATCAACCAAGAACCTACCGCTCAGCAAATATTCAGGAAGTAAATGGAGGTGGGTTGGATACACGTTGAGCAGACCGTTAAATGATATCATGAGGCGAGA